ATTGACTTTCCTTGAGCAGTACTACAATGAAGGTGAAGATTTTTTAGACAAAATTGTTACTGGTGACGAAACATGGGTGGCCTACGTCACACCAGAATCGAAACAACAGTCCATGGAATGGCGACATTCATCATCACCCAAAACAGTGAAGTTTAAGCAAACAATTTCTGCCCGGAAAATCATGTGCACAGTTTTTGGGACAGAAAAGAGTATTGCTAGTGGAGTTTCTGCCTCGTAATGAGACAATCAATGCAGCATCTTATTGTGAGACATTGAACAATCTGCGCCGTGCAATCCAAAACAAAAGACGTGGCAAGTTGTGTAAGGGTATTGTTTTGCTGCATGACAATGCCCGTCCACATGTGGCTAATCGGACCAAAGATCTCATCAAATCTTTTAAATGGGAAACTCTAGATCATCCTCCATACAGCCATGATCTGGCGCCCAGTGACTACCATTTATTCCTGCACTTGAAGAAACACCTGGACGGTCAGCGTCTTCAAGACGATAACGAAGTCAAAACAGTTGTGATACAGTGGTTAACCAGTCAGGCGGCAGAATTTTATGAGGAGGGTATTGAAAAACTGGTGCTACCACGTTATGACAAGTGCCTCAATATTCACGGAAATTATGTAGAAAAGTAGATTAAGGTACAGGCTTTCATGTAAAAATAAAATTATTGCGATATCTTTGCACGTTTTTTTTTAATTCCAAAACGGTACTTACTTAAAAAACATGCCTCGTACATTCGCAGTAGAACAGAACGCGTTCTGGGCTTCATTAAATAGCCGGAAAGCGATAATTCGGACATTGGCAAAATGGTAAAAGCCAGAACGCGTTTTGGCCATATTTTCCGTCCATTGGCCGAAATCGGTGTTTGCTCCTAACATATACAATTTTGGTATTTAATAGATGATATAAATTCACAAGGGTGCTTTAAATGTTTTGATTGGTATGTTTTACTAGTCGTTTTATATTTAATTTTATAATAGATTTCCAAATTATATTTTTGAAAAAGAATATAATCAAATGGTAGGTACTATAATATACTCCTCCAACAAAATTACGGTACAGTATTCTTTATCCGCTGCGCTGTAAACGACTATCAGCACGCAGCGGCGGCGGCGCAGAGCTAAACTAAATCTCGCACAGGTTGACTAGCGGCGACGGTATCGCCATCTCGGAGAGGTTTTGTACCACGAAATCGCCCATAAGGTTGCGTATCTTCTTATTTCTTCAAACAACGCTAAAACGGTCTATTAAAACCCGAAAAAAAGTATTATTAACATTACGGTAAAACAATAATAAAAACATATTATTCCTGAACATACATTTTGTTAACCAACATGTTTTTAACTAATGACATTTTTCATTACAAAAGGAATGCAGTATCAAATACATCTATCTACACCGTTACAGGTTTACATAACAATACAAATACATTTGAATTTCCTTATTTGCCCGCCCATTTAGCATCAGTTTACTGTAAATATATTATTATACAGAACCAACTCCGATGCAAATTATTTTCATTCAAATGCATTTCGAACTTTGTTTTCTAAACGTCAATAGACTTGCTTATTGAGAATTGGTTTTATTGTGTAGGCGTCGGGTATACATATATGTATGTCCACATTATCTCTATCCGAGTGTGTTACAAGCAAAGTAACTTAAATCAAATTTTATTCGAAATTTATATTTATTTATGCTCTCTCTCTAAATATCTTATCTATATGTACTTTTATAGATAGGAAATAAAATGAATTAATGAGGTAGATAAAAACAGATATTAAAATACAAAATAGGGCAATAATGAGTGGGTGGCAATTATTCAGGAATGAAAGTGAATTTTAAGAAACAATAAGAATAAAAAAAGTGCCTCACGAAGATGAAGATACTAGTCTTACAAGAAATATATCTTCAAATATACCTGGTGAGTGGCTCATCCCCTATAACTTTTTTATTTATTCAGATAAAAAAAAACAAGATTTGGTATGTTAGTACAAGGTGTCCCAGAAATAAGTGCTGGTAGTATTGCAAATTAACTGGTAGTATATAGTTCAACCCCAGAAACACGCCTATGAGGTTTTTTTGGCGAACAATTTTTTTTGAAAATTCGGAATTTTTTGAAAAAATTTTTGTTTTTTTTTTGAGTTTTTTAGTTAAAAAACATATTTTCTTAATAATATGACAACATAGGTAGTAGATTAAATTTACAAGAAAGAAAATCCAGAAAAGATCAAGTGGTTCTCAAAATTTGAGCAAAAAATATTTTTTTTTGGAAATTTTCAAAGTAAAATAACTCCAAAACGATAAAGAGAAAATATGTTTCTTTTATCGAGATCTATAACCCCTTAAAATAATTGCAATTATTTCTGCGACACCCTGTATATGACATAAATTAGGATTGATTGGCGTATTCAATTAGTTTGGTCACTTCTTGTTTTACCGGAAATGATGACAATTTTTGATTTTGCACATTAAATGGCACCCTCGGTATATTTTTACTTTATTCGATAGAAAATGACACTCTGAATAGAATGACATATCGTATGTCAACTTTTGGCATTTTCGCTTAAAACAAAATCGTATTTTAATTTCAATCTAGAGTGCCATGGCTATGTTGACATCAATTTAATCAAGGAGCCTTGGAAAATAGATTTGATGGTCTAATGTTTTTTGTCTTGTCCTGGCCGGTTAAACGATGCTCAAATCGTATTTTTAATCATATCTCAATTTTTTCAAATGGAACGAGGGTGGCTTATTGGCATATTTAGGAAAAGCATTTTTTTACAAATAATTTGATTCTACAAACTTGACATTTCGAGTCAAATTGTCGTTATGAACTGCATGATACAATTTCAAATAAACCACTTGCGAAAATGTCAAAAGTGACATATGAAATGTCATTCTATTCAGAGTGACATTTTCTATCGAATAAAGTAGAAATATACCGAGGGTGCCATTTAAAAATCAAAAGTTGTAGTTATTTCCGGTGAAACAAGAAGTACCCAAAATCAATTGAATACGTGAATCAATTCTGATTTATGTCATATACTAACGTACCAAATCTCGTTTTTTTATCTGACCTGACCCTATTCCTCCACTTCAAATGGCTTGGTTGCGAATCAGTGTTATAACTTGAATTTGATAATTAACTGAATTGCAGTATCAGTGTTATAACTGAGGTATTATTAATTTTCTAAATGTGTAGTGGTAGTGACATACTGTTCAATTTGCGAAGTTTGAGTCTTTCGTCACAGATTGTCATTCTCTCTCTTATCCATGTTTATCACATGAAATGGAAATTTTGTGTCAAAAACGTAAGTTCATTATATTTCTTACATCGTACGATTATTTTTTTCGTTTTACATACAGATCACCATTACGTATAAAGAATCGTACTTCCTTTTCTAATGTGCACGAATAGAAAAAGGCAAACATCGTATTCGTCTTATTTGTATTACCCGCCGAAATCGAACATAACGATAACTTTGCCGACTGTCAAAGTTGTGGTTAAATTTTAATTTTAAGGACTCCAATAGTTTCCCGTAATTTTTTGTGGGATTTTCTGTGTTTATTTAGTTATTTGTGATCTAATTTGTGTTTAAAATGCCGTCCCGTTTTAGTGAAAAAGAACAACGGCTCATATTAAAATTATCGAGTATTTGAAACTCGAAAAAGATGCTGGAAAAAAACCTTTTACCTGTGTCGGCTGTTTACGATGTAATTGGACAACTACCGAGTTAATATTTTGCAACTAAATCGAAAATATTCACGTGTTTTATAGAGAGCATCGGAGGCTTTAGGAATTTCATACTCGACTGTGCAAAGAATAAGTTCCAGAGGAATCGTGAAAGTCAAAGAACATAAAGCAGCAAAACAAGTCACAACATTCGTTTGTCCAGTGGAATTCCTGCTTATAAGATCCATGAACATATTAACAGAGGACGTATTTATTTATTGTATACTGCGGGTAGGCTAAAATAAATTTTTCATTATTTAATATTTTGTTATTGTTAGTTTACAACCAGAGATATAAACGACTCATGGACCAAGTCAGGAAATACGTGAAAACCAATATGGGGCCGAAAATGATGACGAAAGTTTCAAACTTCGCATATTAAACAGTATAATTCAACCCGAACAAATTGGCAAACAAAATATTCAAAAGTCAGACAAAACTTTATAGTTATTGCACTTTACCTATGCCAAAAGATTAAAATAATATCAAAATAATGCATAACAGTACTAAAAGCCAAAAAATATCTTTCATGCACCTCAATAAATTTGACAAATCGTAAGCTCTAACCATAATCCCGTTTATCCGCTTATTTACTTCTGTAGATTTTATTTTAGGCCAATATGAAGTGATATATACCCCATGATATATAGCAATGTTTAATTGCACTTTACTGTCAAAATAATGCCACACCGATTTGTCTTTTTAACTGTTACGGCTTGGCATCGTATTTATGTAATTGAAAGATAATATAGTTGTTGTGTGTTAGAATAATAACTATTCACATCTTTATCATCATTTTTTCGAATTTTTTGGTGTTTCAAGAATTTCTGGCGATATAAATTCATCATTATCACTTTGATCAGTTTCCGGAATCCAGTCGGGATTATTACTCATGTTTTCATTCTTTTGAGTACAGTAAAACGCGAGTACAAAATAGTTAAATGTCAACCTCACTTCTACGTCTTTTTTGCTTGGCAACTTGCGTGTGCCAATGAAAATTTGGGTGCGAGAAGTTTACTTGTCGCACTCAAATCGATATTAAATTTGCTCAAAACTCGAGTGGTAATTGTGAAGTGGGTAATTAGCGTCTTTTCGACTCCAAAAGAAAGCGAATAGATACTACTTTCCCCGCATTAGTAATAAAAAGGAATATTTAGAAAAAAAATGAACCCATATCCATAGCTTTGAATTTAAAACGATTACTTTAAATGGTATGCACACTCTTAGCAAACATGACATCACATTCCATACTTACCACGATGCACGCTACGATGGTCCCAAGAGATAAACCTGCCAAGACATCGCTCCAGTGATGTTTGTAGTCCGAAACCCTGGTCATTGCGGTAAAAACTGACGACAACACCGCGAGAAATTGCAGAGTGTGTCTCAGAAGTTTCGATCCGTCCCATGTCATTCGTTTTTGCAGGTATATCTGGAAAGAATATTATTTATTAGTAATATTAGACACTTATAGATAGAAGATACATGTTTTTAATTTTTAATACAAATTGTATGATATGGCAAGCGTGCACTATTCTAAATAGGTGCAAATGAGAAGAGAGAAATCAATCTCATATGAGCGACAGATATAGATTATATGGGAGGAGTAAAGTTAATCACCGCGACCTTATAGATATATTGTGTCTCCCTTTCTTGAGTTATAACTCAGGAGATAGTCTCAGGACTTTGCCAAAAGCCAGTATCTGAGACGTATCTCGGCGCAGTCAGTGATGAGATGTTCTGGTTCCTCTCAGGTGAGAAGTTCTGGAAACAGTGTTCTGTTAAAAACCCCGTGACAATCCGAAGATTATTCTTACTTAAATCAAGGAAGATCTTTGATTTTTCTTGGTTGTAAGTTCGGAGAAATCTCTTCGAGTGTCTTAGACCGTTCCAGATTCCGGAGTTCTGGCTCATTCAGTTGGTTTCCATTTGGGAAGCAGCACGGTTCCGACCCAGTTAGTGCAAATTTTGCTCCTTTTCTAGCTAGATCGTTTGCTATTTCAGTTTCCTTCAATCCATAGGTGAGCTAGCACCCAGGGTAGGAGGATTATTTAGTTTCTTTGCCTAATTTGTTCAGCTTCTATAGACATTCTCTGACCAACCTCGAATGGATGGTTACTGAGTTGATCGCTTTTAAGGCTGCAGCAAATAAGATGGATATTTCTTGTTTCCGATAGTTCCTATCTAAGATAAGTTGTATGCATCCTTCAATAGCGTAAATAGATAATAATTTGAACGGATATAAAAGATAAAAATACAAATTTGGTAAAAAAATATCTTAATTTTCGTACAAACATGGGAAGGGAAACAGAGAACAGAAAACATATGTGACGAGAATACCTACTTTCAAACAATCAATAGAAACAATACTTTAATAACCATGAATTTTAACATAAATCTTCCTCACACAACACAATTTAATATTTTGAAACAATGTAGTTTTAGAAAAATGTTGGAACATTAGAACCGTGTAATATGAAATTCCAGCTCGTAAATTCTATACGTTGTAAATTACAACTTAATGGCAATTTAGAGCCTTGTTTAGCCGCTCGTCTTCGGTGAAGTCGTTTCAACTAATTTCGACTTATCGTTACCTTAAATGAAAACGTCAGACAAAAGAAATCTAGGTTTTAAAAGAATCAATCATTTAAATTATGCACAACTATTTTTAGTTATAATTAAAATAAAAAATATATAGAATCCAGTAAAGCACTGTTTACACATAACGTTTTACCTGTCAGTCAAAATGGATCAAGTAAAATCTTGATTGTAGACGAAAAAATGGTCGTTATACCGTATGATAAAAAAACGGTGTCAACGGCGGTTGGGGACTGACAATCGTTGATAATTTTGGCGAGGTTAATCTCTATACGTCAAAAACTGACATAAAACTTGTCAAAAATTAACATTCTTCTCGAATTTTACACTATACTATTTTTACTCAATATAAAAATAAATTACAACGGGGCATTGATGTGCGAGTCTAGGGCTTGACCTCGACAAAATTACTACAGACTCATTTTGACCTGCAAACTGAACTGACTGAGGAGTATTTTTTTCTCAAATTAGAGAGCATTTCTGAAAAGCATCAGAAAATAATGATTCGGAAGATAAATTTATGATATTTATTAACAAGTTAAAGCTTCATGTGATTTTGTATAAAACCACTCTAAACTTATGGTTCAGTATGAATATGTAGGTACGTTTCAGATATATTTCAGATGGCAGGTACCATATAGGAAGCCTAGTGATACGACTTCGACAACCGGTTCCCTGAATCGTACCATTTGGAAGGCTTTGAAGAAATTGATTTCTGTTAAAATAATGCTAATAAAATTCTTAAAACAAAGATTTTTCAAGAGTTGAAACTAAATATTTGCAATAATCACAACCAACCAGTCCGAAAAATTTGGTTTTATTTTAAACTTTTATGCAAAGGCGGTAAGGTTTAAACTACTGTCGGGTCAACTTTCGTTTGGCTGAAATCAGTTATTAGAAAAAAAGTTGTCTTTAAAAAGCTACTGTGAACCACGGAAAACACAAATTTTCCTGCGGAAATGCGTAATTTCCAAATTTCGCACTTTAGAATAACTGAAATCTGCTATAAAGAAAATACATTTTGCGTTTTATTTTTAATATTTTTCTGAACATATAAACACAAAAATTTTCCTGCGAAATAAGCTGTTTTCATTTTCTAAGGAAATTTATTAGACTTTAGAATAGCTGAAATCAGTTATTTAAAAAATAAATATATTTTTGCCTTTTAGAAGCATTCACGAATTGAGGAAAATAAAAATTTTCCTGCAGAAATAAACTGTATCCATTTTCTGAGGAAATTTAATAGACTTTAGAATAGCTGAAATCAGTTATATAAAAAATAAATATATGTTTGCCTTTTAGAAGCGTTTACAAACTCTTGATTGAAAATGCTTGATTTTCATTTTCCATTTGTTCCTTATTGTAAAGTATAAGTACCCACGAATTTGTACCCAGAAAGTCCTATGCTTATAAAACAGTTTAAAAGAAAAAAATCCTTGGATGAAGCAATTTTGAACCAAAAAAAATCATTTAAAAGTGTCTAAAATGCTAACCAATCTAATAATAAATCTAATAATATTTTTGCAAAATCACAGTTAATTATTAAAATATAAAAACCACAGCTTAATACCCTCCACAGAGAAAAGCTAACCAAAGCAAATCAAATGCTAACCAATCTAATATTTTTGCAAAATCACAGTTAATTATTAAAATATAAAAGAGAACTGCATGAGCCAATGATTTTTAATTTTGAATCAGCCCTATTTACGTAAAGCTTTAATAAAAAACAAGAATAAATGCAACATTCCGAGGTACTTATAGTTTACAAGAACCTATATTATCTATTCTACAAGAATTGTTATTCCTCCGAAAGATGTTTGACATCCCAATAACAGAACAAGAAATAAAGACCTCCATAAAACAGCTTAAAAACAACAAATCAGCTGGCTGTGACGATATTCCAGCGGAAATCTATAAGTGTGCAAGTAAAGAACTTATTGGTCATCTTAAGGCTCTCTTTGATGTCGTATGGGAAAGCGGAGAGGTACCTCAGGATTTTCGCAACGCGAATATACTGAATAATTTAAGAACACAGGAAGTGCATCAGATTGCGGAAATTACCGTGGAATTTCGCTATTGGCTATCGGCGGAAAAATTCTTGCAAAAATAATGTCAAACCGCCTGCACCCATATATAGAAAAAATCCTTCCAGAATCGCAAACGGGTTTTCGTACCAACCGCGGCACCGTCGATTCCATATTTTCCATCCGTCAACTACAGGAAAAAGCAATAGAGCAGCAGTCTAAACTTTATGTTGCATTCATCGATCTAACAAAAGCCTTCGACTCTGTGAACAGAGATGCGCTTTGGGCAATTATGAAAAAGTTCGAAGTACCCAACAAATTTCTTACACTGTGTAAAAGCCTCCATAACAACAACAAGTCAAGAGTGTCACATCATAGATCACTGAGCGACCCATTCCTAACAAATACAGGAGTTAGGCAGGTCTTAGCGCCTCTCCTATTCAACATATTCATGGCAGCGCTCTCCATTATAGTGGACAGCAAACTGCAGGAGAGAGGATTGGGCATATACCGATATGACGGCGGTCTGTTCAACATAAAAAGACTCAGGGCAAAAACACGTACAAAATTTATCACAGAACTTCAATACGCTGACGACTGCGCTCTAGTTGCAAACACGGTACAACAATTACAAGAAATGTTGAACACATATACCTGGGCATACGAGGCTTTGGGCCTTAAGCTGAACATCGGCAAAACTAAAATCATGTGCACTCCCCCGGAAGATCACAACAATGCTATAAAAATCGGAGAAGAACTATTCGAATATGTGGCGGAATTCAATTACCTTGGCAGTTTGATTTCGGAAAAGGCCAATATTGACTCTGAAATTCAGCACAGGATTAGTAGCGCCTCAAGAGCATTCTGGAAATTAAAAGACAGGGTTTTCTACAATCATGACTTGAGTACAAAAACAAAACTTGCAGTATACCGAGCAATTATAATCCCCACCATGATATATGGGAGCGAAACCTGGGTGCCTTACCGCCGACACATGAACGCATTGAACAAGTTGCAACAGAGACACCTTAGACAACTCTTAAGAGTCCGGTGGTTCCATCATGTCTCAAACGTATCGGTCCTTGAAAAATCTAACTGCGAGAGTATTGAAGTCATGGTCACAAAATCCCGCTTAAGATGGGCTGGTCACGTATGCAGAATGCAAGAAAACCGCATACCAAAATCTCTGCTTTACGGTGAGCTTGTGGACGGTAAGAGGAGGCCGGGTGGACAACTGAAAAGATACAAGGACATTTTCCACGAAAATTTAAAGGGAATTAACATGCAGAATGAGTGGGAAAAAGCAGCTCACAATAGAACTCAATGGAGAAGGGTTGTAAACTCAGTTAACAGCGGCAACCAAAAAGTAGAGAGGCAACAAAGCAATGAGATTTTTGAATGTCCGGAGTGCGGTAGGCAGATAACATCACGTATCGGGCTTTTCAGTCACAGAAAAGCTCATGAAAGAAAACGCCTTGCGTGACCATTTTCTTTATGTGTGTCGAATACTCGTCAGCGAGTAACGGCTGTATGTATGTATATGTATATGTTTGACCCCACCCAGCACCCCTATTCGCTCCCGGGTCCCGTAAGCGTGTAAACTGAAAAATGTATGAAAAACAAAGTGCACTAAATGACACATGAACCATTTCCGCAGGAATTTTTTTGTATTTCTTTGCTCGTAAAGGCTCGTATAAAACAAATATAAGTTCATTTTTCATGTAACTGATTTCGGCTATTCTAAAGTCAAAGCATTTTTATTAGTAGTGGGAACTATCGAATGAATACTATCGAAACATTCGATAGTTGC